CACACACACACAAAAGTTATGAAGTCATACATGCGCACATTCAGCAGAACACACGTCTTTGTTCTTTTATGGCTCAAACAGCCGCTGTGAAATTCAGCGTTGTACATAATTCAAGCAAAGCTTCACCACTGATAATAAATTCTGCAAAATACAATTTTGCTTTATTGTTTTGTTTGTTTCTTTTTAATAATTTCAGCTTTTAGGATTCGGTGCCTACCTGTAGTTTTATTTATCGTTTTGCTTTCTGCTGATGCGTCGTCTGAACAGCTAAAGGTGAAACGGCAGCTGGGTGATCAGGTAAGAGAAACCACCTCGCAGTTAAAGGTCACATAGTCAATATTTAATTCCAGCAGCAGGAGCAGCCACGCGTCTCTGAGCGAGACAAACAACCTCTGCTTTTTCGTTAACATGATTTCATCTGAGGCATCAGGCTCTGAAAAGTGAAGCAACTCAGAAGCTAAAATAAACTAAATTTAACCATTTTTAGAGCTTTGAATTTAAATTCTTTAACCTAAGATCTGAACTCTTCCATGGCATTTTTAATTTCTCTTTGCTATTTGGGCTCATTGGCACTTGATGAATGTAAAAACAAAGAATTACCTGATTTTTGTTTCTGAGAAAAATGAGATCCACATATGAGGATATTCGTTTTAAATTTCGATAGAACAGTAGCAGTATAACGTCCTCGTAAGTGGATATCAGGCCCTTGGAGAGCAAAATTGAGTATTTTGGTCTAGACATCACTCATTGTTTATTAGACATCTCCACAGGTTGATCTGAAGACATCAGACATATTCTGAGAGGTTCTAAGGAGCATTCAGCCCGATCCATGTTGTGATTAACCTCCGCCCTCCTGCCCTTTCTCTATGGTTTAATCTGAGTTCTGATTAGCTGCAGAGGCTCACCTGCATGCACATAAAGCCAAAGGAGAAGGTGCAGTTGGGTTAGCTCCATCTCCTCCATCCACTTTGGTAGTTTCTGATTTATTTTGTTCATTAATAATAAGTTCATGAGCTACTGGCAGTTTTCAATCCTCACTAGTTTAGTTTAGTAACTTTATTTTAGGAGAGAAGCCTGAATCACACGGCTCATTGTGCAGCTGGTTCACCGTCCTCATCTCCATTACTCGTGTTGCTTTTTAGAGCAATCTGACTGCAGACGGCAGCAGCGCTCCTAAATACACACACAGTATTTGTACAGGTAATATTTACCCTCGCCCATCAGATTTATGGTTTGAGTGTTTTCTTACTTTCAAACCTGTGTGACTTGTCCTCGTATTTAATCAGTATTTCACTTAGATACCAGGAACATTCCCAAAATGAAGACCTCTACTTTTTATTGAAAACGAAGCAGCTGGTGGGCATCATACCCCTGTGCCGTGTTCATGGTGCCATTTTAAATATAGTTCCTGTCACCTCAGTGCTTGTACTGATGTGAATTCAGTAACATCTACAGGTCTTCAGTGGACCAGGTAACGGCTTCACGGTAAAGTGTAACAGTGTGCGCCACGTTTCCAGCTCACCACTTCAAGATCTCCTTCTCCGGGCAGTTTGCGGTTATCGGCGTTGTTTTGTCCTTTTCCTCCTCCGTCATTATGAATGTTCGCCTCCTTCTCCTTCTGCTCAAAGTACTCCAGGAAGGACGGCTTGGCAGGCTTGGCAGGCTGCATGGTCTCATCTCGCCCTGTAAAACAAACAGCAAGTCCAACATTTACTTTACTGCAGATGAGTCTTAGACTGTGAGAGCGACACGCACAGACTCCATAATGGACTGAAATCTCGACGTAGCTTCAGAGACACCGCACTGAAACACCAGCAGGACTGCTCAGACCTTTGCTGCTGTTCTTGCAGCGGATGACGGGTTTGCTGGAATCGAGTGTTGTTGAATTAAATATTTCTTGGAAAAGGTAAAGTGGGGCTCTGGGAGTTCAAACATGGGGGATGCTGTGGTTTTACAGCAGTGTTTTAGTGAACTGCAGCAACACTGGCAGCTGTTAAGATATTTCTGTGACTGTAATTTACATGTACTCCCCTTTACAGACTGCATCCATTCATTTTTCCTCCTTATTTAGAAGCTTTGTAGAAGGAGAAGATCCTCCTACAGTCAGTCACATCAGAAAAGGAGACGTGCGAGCATTACTGCGTGCTGACAAAGTGCATAATAATTCAAACTAAGGCAGAGCATTTAGATGCACTAAACCGCTTTCTTTTTGCACTTAGTTTAAAACAATCATTCACTTTACCACAAACTCGTTTTCCTTGTAACTCAGTTTTTCTGGTGATTTAAGTAAAACATTTATAAATGCAAATCAGGATCTGTTCCTGGCAAAAAAGGATTAATTGTAATTCAAATTCCAGGATACAATCCCCAGGATTCCTCCATTACACCTCCATACAGATACCTCCACTGCAGAAATGTATTTATCCAGAGCTTTAGTCAAACACTGAACCAAAAACGGTGCAAACACAAATGTCAGCAAGCATCTGCCCTGCTCACAGATCCCTGAGTGGATCCATCACCCACAGTCACAGGTTACTGCACTCTAGCCTCAGCATGAACGTGGAGGCATAAAGAGGATTTTCCTTCAGGGATCAATGAAGTGTTCCATTATTAAGGCAGCAATAAGCAGGGAACAAGATTATCATAATATATGTGCATTAAAGTGATACCAGTAAGTGACTTGCTCAGATACTGATGGCTTTACGGCTTTTAAAACTCTGTCAGTGGAAAAAAGATGGCAGAGGCTTTAATGTAACACTATTGAACCAGATAGGGAGAGGAGAGCACCTCCAGATTTTAATGCATGTTACAGGAAGTGCACGGCATGTGATGGAGCCCATTAAAAAAAGCCAATCACTTAGATGAAATATTTTAAGACTTGCTAACGAGTGCTAAATTAATAATAAATGGTCGGGAAAGCAAATATTAGGGTTTGGAAACTGGATGTTAGGAAAAGGCAAACAAACAACACCCAAGGTTGTGTGTCTTTGTTTTGGAGCGAAGTTTAGGGGTATTTTAGATTTTAGATTTGCCTTATGTGTTGATTAGCATCTTGTTTCTTTCGACGCATGAACTGTCTCGCTGACATGTCAACAACAACAACAACAACAACGACGACAAAAAACCCAAAAACAAACAAAAAACAATAGCAGCTGTCTATTGTTGACAATATATATAAATAAGTATAAAACCCAGACAAACAGTAAACAGAACAACAGCAGGATCTTAAGAAACACTTGAGGTGATAGCAGGAAACACGTCATGCTTCGATGTTCGTTGTTCGTGTGTAATTCATGTTGAGTAGGCTAACCACGTTATTACATTAATGCATTTAAGGTGAACTAGCAAACATCATCATAGCTACATGAAGCTGTCTTCTTGTTTGATGGCAGATGCTCCCTTCACCCTGGCCAAAAAGGCTAAAATGACCAAAGAAAAAGTGGAAAACAGCTGAACATGAGAGGTTTTTGGACAAAGTTTGTGTTTTTTCCATTGTTTAAGCACTGCTTCCAGCTAAGAGCGATACCATATATGCCCCATAGCTGCAGAAAAGGCTAACATTGTTATCTTTTCACAAAAAACAGCTGAACATGAGAGGTTTTTGGACCAATTTTGTGTTCTCCATTCTTGGGGCGACCGTGGCTCAGGGGGTTGTGAATCGCATCTGTAACCGGAAGGTCGCCGGTTCGATCCCCGGGCTCTCTGTCCTGGTCGTTGTGTCCTTGGGCAAGACACTTTACCCTACTTGCCTACTGGTGTTGGCCAGAGGGACCGATGGCGCGAAATGGCAGCCTCGCTTCTGTCAGTCTGCCCCAGGCAGCTGTGGCTACAACTGTAGCTGCCTCCACCAGTGTATGAATGTGAGAGTGAATGAATAGTGGCATTGTAAAGCGCTTTGGGTGCCTTGAAAAGCGCTATATAAATCCATTATTATTGTTTGAGCACCGGCACCGTTTCAAAAGTACCGATTTGGCACCGGTATCGGATAAAACCTAAACGATACCCATCCCTACATTTTAGATTACTTCAGTGTAGACTTTTTAAAAAGACCTCATCATTTCCAAATTATTTCCATTGCTGTAATGAAAACAATGTTAGCTTGTAATTTTAACGAACCTAACAAAACCTGCCCCGGAGACCAGGATGTAGATAACGAGTAATATGGCTCAATGTTGTCATAATTACATTGACCAGTCGGAAAATTCACCCAACCTAAGTAATTTTATAATATACACACTGTGTGCTTTTGAGTGCACGTGCATGGAAAAGTCAGCAGCTACATGGACAATTCCAGAGGAGTTACTGACACGGTTTCTGGTTCACTGAATAAAAATGTCCACACTGTCAATTTTACCCAAGCGAGAGGAAATCAGCGAGTTCATGAGTGTCGTTGAGCGTTTGATTCATGGCTTTAATAAGCTCCTGCGGTCTTTACACACCTACATTATGCACAGATCGCAGTGTGATCAGATAGCACCGCTCTGCTGTGATAACAGAGATCGTTTCTACTAATAATTCTCTACTTTTTAAAAACGCTCCATCAGGTTTATCCTTAAAAAGCTCTTTATGTAAGAAGTTATTCACAGATTTATAACAGCGCTTGACTTACTGAGCCTCTCCTTTTAGATGTGCTGGAAACTCTGATGTCATAGTAGGAGGACATTAGAGCTGGTTAGTGTGTGCGCGCTCACTTAAATAAATTTATGGACAGCAATTTATTTATTTATTTATTTTTAAATGGGCAAGTAATAACTGGGATACGCTGACTGTGACTCAGGCTTGTTTAATGCTGTAATGGCTGAAGAAATATGTTGATTTTTAACCAGGTGGTTGTGCAGCTTTACGTCACACAGGCTAAAGGTGTGATGTCATGCTAAGACTTTATTTCCTCATATTAATCATCTAAAGTGATTCAAATCTGTTGTTTACTCCCTTTACTGTTTACGGTCACACACACACACACACTTTTCTAGGTGCAGACCAAATAATTACTATAATACATGAAATGTGTCTGCATGACTCCTGACTGTGCAGCAACCAAACTACAGCAGGTGCACAGCTACACTGCAGAACTCAGAAGGTTCTCATCTACATCAGCGGTCTCCAACCTTTTTTGCGCCATGGACCGGTTTGTGCCCGACAATATTTTCATGGACCGGCCTTTAAGGTGTCGCGGATAAATACAACAAAATAAAACTAGTACCGGTACCGAAAAAAAGAAGATTTATTCATAACACACGAAAAACAGAGTTATTGGAAAAAAACGATAACAAAATAACGCTAAAACCAATAAAAAAAAAAAACCTGAAAACCCTACACTTCACACCTGAGCCTCAACTCTCGCGGCCCGGTACCAAGCGACTCACGGACCGGTACCGGTCCGAGGCCCGGGGGTTGGGGACCGCTGATCTACATGACATATGATATATCATCACATTGCCTTACACCCCACCCAGCAATGGGCTAAAATGATTGTTTTTAGCAAATAAACATATCTCATTTCTAACTTTTGTTTTTTCAATGTGAATAAGTATATGCCAATTATTCCACCAACACAGAAAGCAGTACTGCAGCATGGGCATGTAATAGTACTTCTAAATCAATACAGTCACAACATGTTGGAAGATTGTATAGATTTCTATGAAAACTGTTACCAAACGCTGTTTTCCAGTGTAGACGTAATAAACTTGTTGTTTTTCATCCATTTTCAGAATTTTTTGAAAGAACTCTACTAGTGGGAGCAGAAAATAGTTTAAAACTGAATTAATAAAAACTCATTCTCTTAATGTTCTCAAGAAAATATCACTATCTTAGATAAAGGTGTCAGATTCTGATCTGGGTGAGATGTGTAAGCTCTTATTGTATTTATTTCCAGGCGCGTCTGTCTCCTTATCACTCAAATGCAACAATGAAGAGGGGAAAAACTTGTTTTTGTCAGAAACAGAAAGGCATCCGGCGATTACCTCCACCTCCACTCAAAGTGTTTTGCTTTCTTCGTAATGGTGACTAATGGCTAACATCGCATCAATAATCTCACTTGGGGCTCCACAGTTTGTTTTCATTCAAGCACAAAATCAATTTAAAGTCTAGTGTCCCCCCTAAAAAGAATTAATGAATGTTCTTCTTCATTTGTGCTGCCGGGTGCCTTCTCTCCCAGATGAAGTTGCCAAGGGCACACACAAAGTCATTGTTTAAGAAAGCTAACCACAGCTACCGACAGCTACCCGCGGGCATGTTGGGAAAAAAACCTCTCCTGATAAGGAATTTTTCAGCATAATGCAGTTCCTTGGAGACCTTTACTCACCTGAGCTGCAGAATGCAACAGGTCTGTATTTAAAACGAGAAATTATAGTAACATTGAATCTTCACACAGTTGTTCTAATTTCCACGAGTGAAGCTTCAGTCTGTTCAAAACCAGCCAGCACTGCACTCGTGGTGTCGCAGTTTCACTAAAGTAACATGAAAGCAAACGAAGCATCAGTGAGCCAATTCTACACAGAGGAACAAACACAAAATTAACTACTAATGTTGGCTAACATCGATTAGCTTCCTCCAAACCCAGGTGTCCAACATAAATCCAATGCTCCATGTGTGAGTGGACAGAAGGCTTTTATTGTGAGACATTTGCAGGCATGCAGCTGGATGTAGTGAGGGGGGGGGCAGCCTTTATTTAAAGACTTTTA